GTGTCTTGGAAATCGTCTAAACAGACTTGCATTGCAACATCAACCATGGAAGCAGAATTTATTGCTTTAGATAAGGCCGGTGAAGAAGCCGAATGACTTCGTAATTTTATTGAGGATGTTCCTAATTGGCCAAAATCGGTACCATCCGTATGCATATATTGTGATAGCCAAGCAGCTATTGGAAGGGCCAAGAATGTCATGTATAACGGTAAGTCCAGACATATACGTCGTAGACATGATACCGTAAGACAAATACTCTCGAATGGAATTATTACAATTGATATGTTAAGTCTAAGGAAAACATAGAGGATCCGTTAACCAAAGGGATTCCTAGAGAGTTAGTTGATAATTTGTCGAAAGGAACGGGTTTAAGGCCTATCAATTGTTGAGCATTGTGGTATATGCCTATTTTCTCGCAATAGAGAGGATTTCAAGGGAAACTAATCGGTGGAACGGGTTCAGGTGGTGGTTTCCATCGAATTTCAAGACAAGAATCACTCAATTCGGCTAAGATCTGATGAAGTTAAGAGAGGAAGAAAATCAAAACAAAAAATGGAGTCAAATGGGTGGCGGGCTGTCGGTTTTGACAAGGGAAAGAGAGAGAAAAGATGATGAATAGTTAGGTGATTACACTTGATCAGATGAATCTGGAGTTTTTCGGTCGTTCGGAGAAAATGTTGTTTTAAGCTGTTGCGCGCGCCGTGGGCACGCTTCCCCAAACTTACTAATTTCCATCAATTTTCATCAGAAATTATATTTCCTAGTCCTAAATACCATTTATAACTTGTATTCAAAATCTAGAGCTTAAAACTCAATCGGCATGCTTTACGGTGCAACTGTACCGCAATATTTTTACCCGGTCAAAACACTATTCACTGAATTTTCTGAAACTTGCCTAACCACTCAATTTTTCGTTCTGAATCTATTTCCAGGGTTATTTTTATCATCTGAGACCTTCTACCCAATTTTACCTTCCTAGGGTTGTCTGTTTGGCTATTTACCGTTTTACCCTTTCTTTGTCTTTTAGCCTAATTTCCAGAATTTTCACTAATCCATTCCTTTAATTCTCATTTAATATATTAATACATGATTTATAAATGTGAGGTGTTATAAAAAATGTTAAAGAAGCAATTGTGTGACTCCTATTGTCTAGGTATACACTAAAGGTTGACGGTTCAAGTCGGCCTAGACCACCGATTGACCGAGTATATCCGATAGGTTTTCCCTAGAGAAGGTTCAAAGGTAACTCCACCTATCTAGATGCAGTTGTTTCTCGTTGAGGAAATTATACTTTGCATTTATATTCTTATGCATTTTTGTCACGACGATTGACCTCTTATCCATGTGGGAGGATTGTTGGAATTTATGAACAATGATCTATTGGTTATGAATAAGAAGTGGGTTAATAAAGAAGAGAGAAAAGGGAAGTTGAAGAGGTGTGTGGGTTTTAACAAGTCCCACATTGAACAAATAGTAAGAAGTAAGAGAGTTTATAAGCTCCCACCTCACTCTCCTAGATTGGCCCTTTGGGGGTCACTACACATTTTGTGGAGGGGGAGGAGCTAGGTGGGCTTTGGTCCACCACACACACGCGCGCCGCCGCCGCCGTCCGTCCGGCCGGCTCGGACCGGTTCGGTTCGGTTCATATGTGTGTAATAAAAATAATTTTTTAATATTTTGTCCAAAAAATGTATCCGTTGCTTCCCTCCAAAATTTCAAACCCAAACGTTTCTACCCGTCGGTTTTTTGAGCAATTTTGAATTGAACTGGTTCTTCCCTTTCGCGAACCGGTCACCGGTTGTGTCTGATCTCCGAATCGGTCACCGGTTGTATCTGTTCGTCGGAACGGTCACCGGTCGCATCCGTTCGCCGCCGTCAGTCACAGCGGTTCGCCGCCGGCGGCGGTTCATCGTGACCGGTCAGTGTCTATAAATAGTTACTGACACCTTTAGAAAATGGATCCAATTTTTCATGCACTGAAACTCTGCTGGAATTTTTCTCTTTCCAGTTTGCATATTCCTGTTCATACTCTGGTGCAGTTTCCTCTGGCATTTTGTTGTGTTCGTTTGGGCTGTTGACTGGTAGTGCTGCCACTCTTCAGACGAAATCCGTTATATTCTGGGAGACAAATGTCCATCAACCTTTGGCATCAGTGAGGGGAAAAATTTTCTTAAGGAGACACGTTCTGTGGGCTCGGATTTATTCCTCTGATTCTGCATGTTTTATTCTTCTGATATCATCATCTGTCTATTTCATCATTCTGTCTCAATTATCTGACAAGTAAGTCTGTTCTTTAATTTTTATAATTGCACAGTGATAATTCTGATCATCTACCTCCTCTGCTTTATACATGTGTTCAAATCTCTTAGTGATATAATATCACCCACTGTCTTCAATAACAATATATATATATATATAGGGATTTGCATCTATCAGGTCACATGACACAAAAAAGTTTCCTACACACACAACATTTTGTGGGGCCCACACTTTTTGAAGCAAAAAAATAAAATAAAAAATTAAAGCACGCAAAACGAATCTCTATAACATTACACAATCACTTTTCCTACAACATAACTCTTATAAAACCCATATATATATATATATATATGTTATATATATATATATATTTATATATATATATATATATATATATATATATATATATATATATATGCATCATGACTTAGCCCATATTTATTAAAATAAGAAAAACTACAATTGATTGAAACCCATAATTATTATAAAAATTTCTTACACTACTTGCAATTTTTCTCTTAGAATTCTGAGTAATAATATTACTCTATACAAAATTATGTGTTTTTGTTTAAATGTTTGATAATATCATATTGCTCGGGTTTGGAATCTAATTGCGCATAAACTTGCTTAAGCATACAATTAGTTTATAACATTTATTATTAAATTAAAAGTCACTTGATCGGTACTTTCTTATATGCGTACCTGAATATGCCGCATGCGGGCGACATGTAGGAAGTTAGCCTGCTGCAGGTAGTCTGCCACGACATCAGGAATATCATCAGGAGATGGACCCCCTTGATAACACCGCGTCGTGTCTTGCACTGGAGACACTTCTCCTCGTTCCACACAACCTGTGAAACGTGTTTGCGCTGCGTGCGCCTCCTAAGTACGTCCCACTTGTATGGTCTTGGAAGCACATGCGTCCTAGGATCCGAAGGCTCGGCCTGAGTCTCAGTATCGGATGTAGACCGAGGTGACTCTGACGATGACGAGTCAGCCATAATAGTGTACTATACAGAATAATAAATTAATTGGTTTCATTAATATATTCAAAAGTCATTACATTAATTACATGTGTTACAAAATTTAACTAATTAAATGTGTTACACAAAATTTTTAATTTACATGTCCTTTAAAAAAATTAACTACTTGTGTTACAAAAAGTATTAAATTACATTTGTTACAAAAAAATGGCAATTTACATGTGTTAACAAAAATATTAAATTACATTACCTAAAAAAAAAATGGCAATTTACATTTGTTCACATTCTCTATTGTATTCCACAGTCGCTATTATATTTCTAAGTCACTATTATATTCCTAAGGTTTAAGACACTATTATTAACATATTCCTAGATCACTATAATAACAGTTATATGCGCAACACCCTAAATTACTATTATAAGATGTATCATATTATAAATAATTATTTGATAAAACAGATATAAAGACTTACTTGTTCGACAGGGCTTCGCCGCGCAAAATGCTCCACAAATAATCTAGAGAGAAGGCAGAGCAACTTTAGAGAGAAGGAGTGAGAGGGAAAAGTGGCAATTTTGGGATTTATATAGGGCAAGCAATTCACGCCTGTCTTGGGCGTGAATTGTCACGCATTCTTAGGGCGTGAATTCAGGGCAATTTCTGCCTCACTTGGGCGTGACTTTTTCCGCACCTTTTGAGCGTGAATGACTGCAATAAATTCATAAATAATTTTCAAATTGCAATCTATTCGTAATTAATTATTAAAAGTATAATATTTTAATTTTTTTTGCCTGAACTTGTCACATCAGTATTATGCATAAACCACATGTATATTGACAACTATTTGTGTTAATTGAGTAATATAATTGAATTTTGCATTAGCCTGATAATTTTTTTAAAATATAATTATTAAATTCTTTTTTTTCCATTGAAAAAAAAAAGCATATATTTTTTTAGTGGTGATCTTGTTCTCTTTTGTCAGTAAAGCAATTTGTATTGTGGGAGCCAGAGTTTGATTATTATTATTTTTTCTTCTTCTTATTCTCCAACAGTATAATCATTACTTTGGCTTAATGAAGTTTTTTTTTTTTACTTTGACCGTGTTTTTTTTATTTAACAAATCTATTTTTTTAAACAAAAAACTATATTAAGGTTTGAACTAAATTTTTTATATAAATTAGCCCAGCCTCTCATCTATTTCCTAATGACCTACCGTGTTTGTTTTTTTTTTTCCATTACATTTTTTCACATTAATTTCTTTACATGCGTCTCTCTTCTCATTTTAAGATAGTTCTCTCCAACAATAATTTATATTCTCTAAAGTGACTTTTGTCAGGAGCTCGCGTTAATCCCAAAGAATTTTAATACACAAATTAGAAAGCATTGGCTACTGTGTATTAGTACTTTGACATCCATAATTCACGAAGACATATACTTTTCACCTGTTATGTTACTTTTACATGTAGTTACCCATTAAGAAACACTCAAATAATTATGGAAATGATAAGCACGTTTTGAGCATAAACTTTCACAACTAACCCAAAATTAAAGTTGGTGGGATCACAAATAGCACAAAGTTGTTTACCGGGTATGTAATGAACTCACATGGAAAATATAAATGAGAAAATAGAACGCAACTCAAAGATCGGAATAAGAAAACGCAATCCACCCCCTTTTTATTTATTCTTATATTCCCATAGTCTGAAGTAAAACTAAGTTACAACAAAATCAAAAAGGATCATTTAAGAAAAATTGGCTAAAATCACATAAAAACCATTTGTTAATTTTGTCTAGGAGCAACAGACAGAATTGAACCGAAAATTCGATGCATCACAACATCTTATGCTAGTTCCTTGAACTTTTCTTACTTTTGCTAATCTTTAGCAGGGCATCAAGTAATGTTGGTATGCAAATACCACGAGACATATCCATTTCTTGTACTTCAGGGGCATCAGAACATGTACCTTTTTCTATTGTTTTCTTCTCCCTTTCTTCAAATCTTAACGAGTTTGGGAAGTACAAGCGTCCCCTTCCACCTGGTCTAATTCCAATAAGACGACCAAGGGATACGCGGTGTTCTTCAAAGAAAGATGCCGTGGACTGGTTGTTCCAACGGAAGAAAGCAGTTAACAAAAGAGCAATTATTTCACATGGCCTCTGATTGTCTATAATCTATGAGATACATTTACATTGGAAAAATGATAATTTCCAAAATTTGAATTCTACGTTAACTCGATGCTCAAAAGTTTAAACCACTATTATCCCAAGTTTTGTTGATGGTGAAACACTGAAAAAAATGTCAGTCCCATGTGGTTTGCACATAATTTGTTTCCATAATAAATTCTGTTAAGGCCTAGCCTAGATATTAAGTTGTATGCACACTTCGACCAGAATTACATTTACCTTGGACATCAATTTCAAACCTCTGATGTTATTAGATAGCATTCTCTTCTTTCCAAAGTAGTTTTCATTTAATGTAATGAGCAAAAACTGAAGAAGGCAGAAAAAATAGGACCTGGGGAAGTGAGATTACCTCAGTATCAAGGTTGGAAGAAGAAAATGAGGAAAAACTGATGGATGGCATGTGCAGTGAGTATGACTCTACTGGAGCAGCTGGTAGTGATTCTGCAACTCTAAGTCTCATATTCAAATAGCCAAGGCCGAATGGCCACCCAATAGGCATCTCATCATTCTGAGAATAGATGGCAATAAAAAATAGCAACATTACATTTTCCTATCCTTTTTAAAATAAGTCCTAGCTTGAGTAACAGAATGTTCTGATAACCATACGAAAATATGAATGTTAACACTTAACTGATCCAAGCAAAGCTAAGAAAAAGCTGTACTGAATTGGAGAAATATGGATGATGTTCATTTAGATTAGATGCTATGCTAGAACATCAGAAAGGTAGCAAGATAAGGTACCATTGCTGCCACAGTTCAGTGTGTGAAAGCTTCAGTAAAATCTGTCTCATATTCTAACATTATTGGAATTCTATTCTACCCATCTGTTTAATTCCTTGCCACATGAATATTTCCGATATGACAATGCAACTCTTCCCTTCCATAGATGTAAAGAAAAAAAAAAAATTGATCATAAAAAAATATTTCAAATAACCCATAAGCATATCTGTGAAAAGGACTATCTACAGGAGTGAGGTTGGCAAGATTTTGTGTCATTCGATTTATTCTAAAACTCAGACAATTTGTTCTGACCACATTTTGGTCTCTATATCAGTAAATTCTGTCACCGGTCATCTATGAATCTTCAAGTTGTATTTGCAAAGTTAATTATTGGTACAACTAGATTCTATTTCTTGTCTGCTAGTTGTACAAACTCTTCTACCAGCATTATGACTAACTACAAAAACAAAATGTACTGGAATTAAAGGAAATAGGACTGAGGGAAACCAATGGTGATTACACTGTCGGTATAATTTTCTTTTAACTAGTGTCCAGCAGAGTTTTAAAAGTACATGCTTATGATTCAGTGGTTTGTATGGGTTCATTTCTCCAGATATTTATCAGATCTATTTCTCACCCTTATTGTACTCCTTAAACTTTTTCTTTAAATATATATATATATATTGTTCCTATCGATTTGGCGTTGGCCCACATCATGTGCCTCTGTTAGATTTCCTCCACTTACTATTTATTACATATCATTATATCAAATGTAAAGAACAGTTGGTAAAAATGAGAGATGGATGGTTTTACGGATAATTGTTCCAGTCAAACTGTGCGCCTACACCTTCTAATTTGACATGTTATGCTCAAAATGTAAGAATTGGATGTGCCGCTTTCCTGGCTTTAACTCTTTAAGTTTCCAAAATTATAAAATAATAATCTTCCTGACAGGGGACCAGCATTTGCTACCGTACCACCTAGTAGATGTCATGTTGTTCACATTATTAGGACTGATATTTCAGTTCAAACCACATTCTTACAATTAAGTTCAGACAACAAACTTTGATGGGTTTTTAATGATATGTTAATTCATGCGCCCGACGAATTGCACAACTACTTACGTTATGGTCCTAACTAGAGACTCTAATGGGGTCTTTTCTTCATGTCAGTTCATCTGCAAAGTACAAATTTTATGGTACACTCATTGATAGAGGGTGGTTTTTTTTATTTCTTTCTCTAAGCTAGTCCATCTTGAAAATGCAAATTTTACTTATATACATAACTGCATCATGGTAAAGATTACTTTCTGCTAACAATTTCCAAGTATGTTAATTCCCAGAAAATTACAAGAAGAACACATAAGAGCAGGGATTCAATAACCATTCCATTAAGTGTGAAGAGCAAGATAAATCATAAGCAAACAAGAAAGCACCACATGAAGATGTCATCACAAACAGATTCTTCTCTGATTCAGGGAATCAACAGGTGAAAGAAGACTGCATACCACTCAGAATATAACCACACACATAAAGCGAAAACAGAATCACAGAGATTTAGTTTCAATTCCAATTTCAACACTTCACAGCCCAAACATATTGACATATATTCATCAAAAAGAAGTCTTCACCTTTTGCAGTCACACAACAGTGATATATCTGTTAAACCAGCTGAAAATGGAGTGGGAACGGGAAGAGAAATGCTGAATGGAGAAGAAAATGGAGAAAGAAGGCATATTTTGAATGTCCTTGTTCTTATTTGTGCAAAAGAATATCAATAAAGCACTGAATTATTACCTCTGAAACCATGGTGTCTCTGGCCTCCACCCAGAAATTGATGGCAAAATGATGATCACAGAGAAAAAAAGAAATTTGTATTGGAGAGAAAACAAGGGAGAACTTACGTGTCTTCGAACTTTTATATAAGTATTCTTCCTTAAATCTCAGTCATTTAACACTCTAGGTCCCACTTGACCTGCTGAACCTTACTTGGATGGAAAATCAATTTTGCAATCCAACATTTTTATACCGTTACAATTAATTTACAATGTACATATGCTTTGATTAATGGATGAAAAATCTGGTAACCTGCTTATAGATTTTTCTTTATGTATAAATAACCCAATTATTTTTTTGAAGTGAGTCGGGCCTTTAAATATTTTCATAAATTTTAACTCTTTGAATTTACGAGTTTAATTATGAGTTTTGTGCTTATAGTTAAAATTCTTTGTCTCTTCCAAAAAATACATTTGATGAGAATTGAACTCATATTCTTTTCTCACGTGTTTATAGACTTTTATAAGAAAAAAATGTGTATCATTTTAAAGGAGATAAAATTATGTTATTTTAAGTGAGAGAAAGAGATAGATAAAAGAAGTGAGAGTGGATAAAAAATATAAAAGTGTGGGTCCCACCTTTTTGTGAGAGTGAAATGTAAACACTTTTCCTTTTTATAAATCAATAATTGAGTCATTAGTAACCGTCGTAAAAATGGTATGAAAATTTTAGAGTAAATATACAAGCTAACCATATATATTTTCTCTTAAAAGACTTAAAGTTTAGGATTTTTTTTTTTTTTTTAATTTATGTCAATACTCCAGTACTTAGGTAAGAGTTAAGCTCTTCCAACACTTACTATTATTATATACAAAATTTGAAATTTTGAACCCAATACCTTACTTTATTATAGAATCGAACTTCTTACTATCTGAACCAACGCGTTGATCTTCAAGTCCACATTTTGATTTTAAGCGAAGTAATTAAAAGGAAACAATGCCCAAAATAAATACTAATAGAGAAGGGAAAAGTAACAAAAAGAGTTATACATAATTAGAAAATTGGCTTTATTGGTAATTTAGCGAGATGTTTTGAAATTCTAATAGGGGTGACACTTCAAAGTTCAAACGGTTATCCGCGAGAAAAAGGATTGCGATAATTAATAAGTGTTACAAGAGAAGTGCTTTTATTGTTTTAGGGGCTTTTAGCTTTTGAGTTTGGTGGAAAAGCAAATTAGAAATTAAAACGGTTGGGAACACGAACATCTATGATTACGATCTATGCCTTGATTGGTTTAATCGGCAGAAGTGATGGGTTTTATATGCAATTTCTATCAGACACTGACGGGTGAAGAAACACGTAAATCACCGGTAGCTGAACTTTGGTGGCTTCCTATAAAGAAATCAATTTTTATTTGTCCTCACTTTTAAGAAATTTGTATTTTTTTTTTCCATTTGCGTAATTAATCATTTTTCTTGCTTGAATATTGACATTGATCATTTATTAGGAATATTATTTATTTATTCATTTATTGTATTTGCTACACACTCTGATCATTATGTTCAGTTCTTGTAGTTAGAGGACATAAACAATATATCTCAAAGATGAAGATTAATTCATTTTGATAATTTCTCCAAATTAGAATTAGTTATTAGAATAATAGAAACTCAATTTTAACCATTTTAGTTATTTTTATTTGATAAAATTGGAAAGATCATTAGTATTTATAAATTTTTGGAATACTTCTTGTTTTTATTACTTTCTCTTATGAACAAGAGAATACCAAATCGAGTGATTATATATGTTAGAAATATATTGTAATTAGGGTTTCATTATTTTGTAATTAGTGTTTCCTTATTTTGTATTAGGTCAGATTACATTAGGTTTGAGCTTAGCCCATTAGTTTGTTTATATATTGTACAGCCTTCATCAGTCAATACACACAGAAATATTTCAAATGTTCCTCTCTTTTCTCTTGTTATTTAACATGGTATCAAGAGCCTAAGGAATTTTGAAAAAAAAATTTCCGGTGAACCCACTGTTCATCGTCGGTTGATTTTTTTTTTTCCGGAGCTGTCTCCTTGTCACTTTTCGGACGCTTATCTCTCCTCATACAGCTTCTGTCTCGTCCAGAACCACCGCCTGGTCACCTTTTCCGACGATCCACATACCGCTGTGATCGTCTCCGCCGCGCGGTTCCAACGCCATCGGTCTCGTCCAATTTCAAGGTCACACGCGCCCTCACGCGCGCGTGACAACTCGACCACTCTCCTTCTATCACCTCTTATGCTGATGAGATCGAGCATAGTTCGTCAGATGTATCTGTGGACTCACATTCAACTGCATCTCCTCCCACGGCTTCGGTCCCACCTTTGGATAGTGACCTTCCCATTGCTCTTCGTAAGGGTACTCGTGATACTCGCCCTCCGGCCAGGTATACAGTCAATATTAGTTATCATCGTCTTTCTCCATCATATTTTGCTTGCCTTTCCTCTTTGTCCTCTGTATCTGTTCCTAAGACCATAGGTGATGCACTTTCACATTCGGGATGGAGACAAGCTATGATTGATGAAATGAGTGCTCTTCATCATAATGGCACATGGGACCTAGTGCCTCTTCCTTCTGGAAAATCTGTGGTTAGTTGCAGATAGATTTATGCTGTTAAGGTTGGACCTGATGGTCAAGTGGATCGTCTTAAAGCTCGCTTGGTGGCGAAGGGTTTCTCTCAGGTCTTTGGCTTGGATTTTATTGATACTTTTTCTCCTATGGAAAAAATGTCTAATGTTCGCCTTTTTATTGCTGTGGCTGCTATTAGGCATTGGCCTCTCTACCAACTGGATATCAAGAATGCTTTTCTTCATGGTGATCTTGAGGAAGAAATTTATATGGAGCAACCTCTTGGATTTGTTGCTCAGGGGGAGTCAGGTCTTGTTTGTCGTCTTCGTAAGTCTCTCTATGGCCTCAAACAATCTGCAAGAGCTTGGATTGGTAAATTTAGCAGTGTTGTTCAACAATTTGGCATGACTCGGAGTGCAGCTGATCATTCTCTCTTTTATCGTCATTCTGCTTCTGGATCTATTTATTTGGTGGTATATGTGGATGATATTGTCCTCACAGGCAGTGATCAACATGGGATCACTCGATTGAAACAACACTTATGTCATCATTTTCAGACTAAGGATCTTGGGAAACTTCGATACTTATTAGGAATCGAGGTGGCCCAATCTAAAGCTGGTGTTGTGATATCTCAGAGGAAATATGCTCTGGATATTCTTGAAGAAACTGCTATGTTAAATTCAAAGTTTGTTGATACTCTTATGGATCCAAGTATCAAGCTTCTACCAAATCAGAGGAGCCCTTTTCAGATCCTGAGCAGTATAGAAGATTGGTTGGAAAATTGAACTACCTCACAGTCACTCGGCCTGATATTTCCTTTGCAGTTAGTGTTGTCAGTCAATTTCTCAATTCTCCATGTCAAGAACATTGGAATGCAGTCATTCGTATTCTTAAGTATATCAAGACATCTCCAGGGAAAGGCCTTGAATATGAAGATGAAGGTCATGATAAAATGGCTGGCTATTGTGATGCTGATTGGGCTGGTTGTCCAACTGATAGGAGATCTACTTATGGGTATTGTGTCTTTGTTGGAGGCAACTTGATTTCCTGGAAAAGTAAGAAACAAAGCGTAGTTGCCAGATCAAGTGCTGAAGCAGAATACCGCTCCATGGCGACTACTACTTGTGAGCTCATCTGGCTTAAACAACTTCTCAGAGAACTTAAGTTTGGAGACACTGGACATGCAACTCTCATTTGTGATAATCAAGCAGCTATACACATTTCATCAAATCCAGTGTTTCATGAAAGAACCAAGCATATATAAATAGATTGCCACTTTGTTCGAGAAAAGGTTCTTGTTGGTGAAATTAAAACTAGTTTTGTACCCTCTAATGAGCAATTAGCAGATGTGTTTACAAAATCTTTGAGGGGCCCTCGAATAGAGTTTATATGTAATAATCTTGGTGCATATGACCTATACGCTCCAGCTTGAGGGGGAGTATTAGAAATATATTGTAATTAGGGTTTCCTTATTTTGTAATTAGTGTTTCCTTATTTTGTATTAGGTCAGATTACATTAGGTTTGGGCTTAGCCCATTAGTCTGTTTATATATTGTACAGCCTTCATCAGTCAATACACACAGAAATATTTCAAATGTTTCTCTCTTTTCTCTTGTTATTTAACAATATATATATATATATATATATATATATATATATATATATATATATGTGTGTGTGTGTGTGTGCTGACTGAATCATGCACTTGTCTACAAAAAGTTTACCTATATTGAATGTGTCTCTTAATTGGTGGATGAATCATGGATTTATAATACCTAATTAATATTTTTTTTTTTGAAATATTCTAATTGGTTCTTTATTTTGTGACTAGTGTGATTCAGAACGAATCTCGAGATTAAAATTTTAAATTTCTCTTAAAAATAATACTACGGTAGCGTACATAATTAATTATTATTCTTATAGTCAACAAATAATAATATATTATGATGAAAGGGAGCCATAGAAATGAACTTAAATTCGTTGTCAGCATCCGTATGACTTATTATGATCTTCCTTTTCCTGCTCTAATAAGATATTCTCTTACTGTTGTGAATAACTAATGAAATTTGTATAATGTTATAATTACAATATTTACATTAAGTTTATTTGATGTTTTTCATGTTATCCATAATAAGTCGAGTTTATTCTACTAAAAAAACAAAGTTATTAACTCTATTTAAATATATTCTTATTATTTGAATTATTAAATTTAAGTGAATTTTTACTGAAACAGATTTAAGTGAATTGATACTTGAGAATGAGGTGCAGTACTTCGTTGTTACTTGGTACATAGAAGAGATGGGAAGTAGTGTCGGTACTCGTACCCCGTACCATAAACGCAAAAATATAGGTGTCATGTCACAGTTGCCAACTCTACTCATATTTTTGGTCCCACTCAAGTGCTACGTCTCAATTTGAGCCAGACGTAATTCCTACACTTTTGTACCACTGAAATGTCTCCACGTGGACTTGAGATT